GGGATCTCCAGTCACGTAAATGGGGTTACCATCAAACCTCTTCTTAAGTCATAGGCTGTTAACCCAGTCCTCTTGATGATATACAACTTGATCTCATGACACACCTTTGACATAGATCCAATAGGTTGTCATTCGATTTGATATAATCTATCGAGATTACACAAAATTGAGATCAGTTTTCTAATGGTTTTACATCATCTTCTTAAAAGACATGACTAACCATTACCCAAAAAAAAAAAACTTAGTGCCTAAGCTTTAGCCAATCGACTATCACAATGCACTTGTTTTTTTTTTTTTTTCACAAAGTTCAAAGGCTATATAGCTTCTTTAGAATTATCTAAAGCAATGAACTCGCCAATAACTTATGTTTCTTGTTGAGGATATTATTTGTGGTAAGCAACGCTTCCCCCACATTTCCTGGAGTAACCCAGATCCTCCAACATTGCATTCAACATCTCTTTAAGAGATTCATCCCAACCATATTGATTTCAGAAACTACATTATACATGTCTGTTTCAATCATATTGGTTTGAGATTATCGTGAGTCAATTTTACTACGTCATTCGTTAGCATCGCTACGACATTCGTTAGTCTTGTGACTCACAAGCCACTCTTGGTGACATCTTTTTTTTTTTTTTTTTTTAAGCATCAATCTTGCACTTACAAAGCCAAGAACTGATCTTAAAATTTGTTCAACATCAGAACATGGTATAGTCACAAGTGGTTGACCCAATACCAAACTAAATTTGGGTGTCGACTCACTAGACTCGTTACCAAAAAACAAATCCACCGCAAACGCTATAACTTGGATCTAGACATTTAGATAAACATCAAAATTCTAGTCCATATAAGCAACATAATCATATGTGGTTGACCACTCCCAACATGGGGTATCGACTCACAAGACTCATCATCACAAATGTTACCTACACAGTTTCATCAACGAGCGTAGTACCATCGTTCTGACCATCAATCAAATCTTATTTTTTTCCCTTTAATCATACTCAAAATCGAATCTGTTCACGAATAAACAAAAACAAATTAGTATACTAAATAAAAACCAGAAATTAAAGATCAAGCAATTCAAACAAATATGAATAAATTGCAAAAAAAAATGATAAAACCAGAAATAAATTACAACAACCGAAACCAATATTTGTTAAACAAAGAACGGTTTGTGCGGAGGCGAGACACTCTTTCCTTAATTCTTTAATTGCCCGTAGTGTGACGGCTTGACGCAATCAGAATCCCAGGATACAACCGCACCATCTTCTGATTTGCAACACTCAAAATCAGAAGTCTAACGAACTCTAGTAATGTGTGTACTCTCAGACTCGATAACTAGAGAAAAGAAGAGGAAGGAGATTGTGATCTTTTTGATCCATATGTCCATGAAATAAAAATGGAGAGATGAAGCCTTGGTTTTATAGTCCAAGCTCTCAACACTATAATGGAGCAATAAAGGTGAGAATGTTATTGTTATGAGAATGAATTCTCAACATCAATGTCATTGACTCCATCACCTTTAATTGTTGTGAATTAATTTTTGTTGTTACACAATTTATAATTCACATTAAAGGAGATAATTGTTGACTTAATCAACTTACACATTTGGGTAATTAACAATTATCATTTGGGTTATAAGCCCATTTCCCAAATCTCAAAAACCCAAACCCGGTCCGGCTCGACACGATACAACACGGCTCCGCACACATGCCTGGTTTAGATTTCTCCTTTAACTTCCGAAGTGCGACATTTGATCCTTTAGTCAAATTTCAAGCTATCCAAGCTAGCCACTTCGGACCTCCATTTCTCATTCAAACGAATTTCAATTTTGAAAGTTACCCAAAAAAGTAGTCCGGCGCAACTAATCTAAATAAGTTCCAACAGTTATAATAAATGACATTCGATCAAATATACGATCTGGATAAGATTTGGCATATACATATGACATGAGCTATAAATGAAACAACCATTTTTATATTAAAAAAAAAAACCATTTTTTCTGAAACAACATGTCAGAGCCATTTCATGCAAAGAAAGTTAATCACGAAATATAAAAATAAAGTTTTATATGGTTAAGAAAATTAATACAGAAAAAATTGTTAAAAGTTTGGATTTGTGGTCTTCCTCACACCAGACCAAACATCATGTCCCTATCTCTGGCAATACCTGACGCTCGAGCTCGACAAGTAAGAAGACTCACGCTACATGGAAGCCACGTGGCATATATATGTCCGTCCAGATTGCATTTAACATCCGACGGTTGTGGACACATTTCAACTAACCCGACTCTTGTTCTCACTTCTCACCAACTCTTTGCGTCTGTCTATTTAAAACCTCCGATGTCGCTCACCTTTCCCTCAAGAAATTTATTTGCTATTGAATATAAATTTCCCTTTTTATTTCTCCCTTTACTTTTTTATTATAATCGCAAAAAGAAAATTCAATAGTTCTTGTAAGCGCAACGTGTAAGTAGAGACATACACACATTTGTAGTGTTTTGTTTTGTATAATAACATCATCATATTGAGAGAGAAGAAATCAAGACGCCATATTGTTTTAAAAACCGGGTCGGATCCAAAAAAAAACCGTTTTCTTTAACCGGGTCGGCGCTCATGGAGCTATGCAATCAAAACAACCACATCACCGGCGATCCGTTGAACTGGAACGCGACGGCGGACGCTTTGAAAGGGAGCCACTTGGACGAGGTGAAACGAATGGTGGAAGATTATAGGAAAGGGGCGGTGAAGTTAGGAGGTGAGACGTTGACGATTGGTCAAGTCGCCGCCGTCGCTAGAGGAGGAGAAGGAGGAGCTACGGTGGAGTTAGCGGAGGAGGCTCGTGCCGGAGTCAAGGCGAGTAGCGAATGGGTGATGGAGAGCATGAACCGAGGAACCGACAGCTATGGAGTCACCACAGGTTTTGGTGCTACTTCCCATAGAAGAACTAAACAAGGCGGTGCACTTCAAAATGAGCTTATTAGGTCAGTTTTTTTTTTTGTCGATACCTTATATTAGGTAATAATATAATTTCTTACTATTTGTTCTCGTTTTTATTATGTCTTAATATTAAATGTGTTAGACTATTTTTTTAGACTGGCTAGTAAAACAAAGTTTAGAATCTTGAATTGATAGTAGTAGTACTCATAAAGTTTCAGATAGGTTACGAATAACAACATTTTTCTCAAGAATTATTGTAAATTGAAATTAAATGCGTTGAAAATTTAAACTAGTTAAGAAATTTTAGATCTATAAAGTTATTAATAGAAAAAGGAAGATTTTGATCAAAAAAAAAGAAAAAGGAAGATTTTGATTCGGGTATGAAAATGGTGAGACAAGTTGAAAGTTTGTTCTTGGTGCTCTCTTTTTCGCCTAAAAATTTCCTAATTTTTGGCAACTATTTTTTTTTTTTTTGACTTCACAGTTTGGTACTAATTTTAATACTTCGGTGAATAGCTTTTTTTTGCCAGCACTGATTAGCTGAATAAGTTGGTGTTTGGTAATAATAATTAGGTGAAATTAAGTTACACATAACAGTCGTGGACGCTAAAATACTTGCTTCATACACCAAACTTTAATTTATTCATAATTTTATAGTAGTATAAGATAAGATGAAAATCCGGTCATTATCAACAATTAATACTTGTCAATGACGAAATTATACAATTAATGACTCGAGCAGGTTCTTGAACGCCGGAATATTTGGCACTGGCGCCGGAGACACGTCACACACGTTGCCAAAGCCGACGACAAGAGCGGCAATGCTCGTCCGTGTCAACACTCTCCTCCAAGGCTACTCCGGTATACGCTTCGAGATTCTCGAAGCCATTACAAAGCTTCTCAACCACGAAATCACTCCGTGCCTCCCTCTTCGTGGCACCATCACGGCCTCCGGTGACCTTGTCCCTCTCTCTTACATCGCCGGACTCCTCACCGGCCGTCCCAACTCCAAAGCCGTGGGTCCCTTCGGTGAGACTCTCACTGCCTCTGAGGCCTTTAAGCTCGCGGGAGTATCGTCTTTTTTCGAGCTTCAGCCTAAGGAAGGACTAGCACTTGTGAACGGGACAGCGGTTGGATCGGGTTTGGCCTCGACGGTTCTGTTCGATGCAAATATTTTGGCTGTTTTGTCGGAGGTTATGTCTGCCATGTTCGCAGAGGTTATGCAAGGGAAACCGGAGTTTACCGACCATCTTACGCATAAACTCAAGCACCATCCCGGTCAGATCGAAGCAGCCGCGATTATGGAACATATATTGGACGGAAGCTCTTACGTTAAAGAAGCTCAACTTATCCACGAAATGGATCCTCTTCAAAAACCTAAACAAGATCGGTAATGTATCTTGCTCTTCAAGTAAACCGATATTGTGGGTTGAAGTTGATGTTTCCGTGTGGGATGATTTTATATATTTAGCTGAGTGGCGTTTCCTGTAAAGTTGCAGGTACGCTTTACGTACGTCGCCTCAATGGCTTGGCCCGCAGATTGAAGTGATCAGAGCGGCCACTAAAATGATTGAGCGTGAGATCAACTCGGTTAACGATAACCCTTTGATAGATGTGTCGAGGAACAAGGCTTTGCACGGCGGGAATTTCCAAGGGACACCGATTGGTGTCGCCATGGATAATTCTCGTCTAGCCATTGCTGCGATTGGGAAACTCATGTTCGCCCAGTTTTCTGAACTAGTGAACGATTTCTACAACAATGGTTTGCCTTCTAATCTATCCGGTGGGAGAAACCCTAGTCTTGATTACGGATTTAAAGGCGCGGAAATAGCTATGGCTTCTTATTGCTCCGAGCTCCAGTTCTTGGCTAATCCCGTGACCAACCATGTCCAAAGCGCAGAGCAGCATAACCAAGATGTTAATTCCCTAGGGCTGATCTCGAGCCGGAAAACCGCAGAAGCAGTCGATATCCTCAAGCTAATGTCCACGACCTATTTAGTCGCGCTGTGCCAAGCCATTGATCTAAGACATCTTGAAGAGAATCTGAAGAAAGCAATTAAATCTGCAGTGAGTCAGGTGGCGAAACGGGTCTTAACCGTTGGGGTCAATGGTGAGCTACATCCTTCGAGGTTCACTGAACGCGATGTTCTCCAAGTGGTTGACCGAGAGTATGTGTTCTCATACGCAGACGATCCCTGCAGCCTCACTTACCCGTTAATGCAGAAACTTAGACACATTCTTGTAGATCACGCTTTAGCGGATCCAGAACGCGAGGCCAATTCCGCGACATCAGTTTTCCAGAAAATCGGAGCCTTTGAGTCCGAGTTGAAACTGCTTCTCCCTAAAGAAGTGGAACGTGTCCGGGTTGAGTACGAGGAAGGAACCTCGGCTATAGCTAACCGGATTAAGGAATGTCGGTCTTATCCGCTGTACCGGTTTGTCCGCAACGAGCTAGATACTGAACTGCTCACTGGAGAGAATGTTCGGTCGCCGGGAGAGGAGTTCGATAAAGTGTTCTCGGCGATTTCTGATGGAAAGCTTATTGATCCGTTGCTGGAATGTCTCAAGGAGTGGAACGGAGCTCCGATTCCGATCTGTTAAAAATCTTTTTTTATAGATCTCCATCCAAGATTCTTACCAACTTTTTTTTTAATTTACTTTTAAAGGATTTGTGTGTTTATATATTTCTTGATTTCCACGACATTGAACATTGTCAAGAATTTGAATTCTATAAGATGTTTGTTTGTATGTTGAATGCTGTGTCTTTTTAGTATTCTTTTGATCCATTATGATTTTAAAAATCGCAATGGAGTTTGTTGTTAAGAATGTGTTGGTATAGTGGGGATTGGACCAATTTGAGCCTAAGTCATATGTTGGGTTTTAGTGCTTGTCTAGACACAGTTTTTGGTCTGGACACAGAATTTGTGTATACAGAGTTAAAAGACGTGTTTTTATCTCATGGTTGGATACAAAAAAATAGAGAAGAAATCTTGATTTTGGAAAAAGAGACGAATTTGGTGACTACTTAATAACAATTTAATAAGTGGTGTTGGCAGCAAAACACGATAAATAGTTTCTCGGCACCGCTTCTTTGTTATTCCACAAGTGAAGAAGAAGAGAGAAGAAGCAGACGAAAAAATGGCGACTCTGTCTTCCTATCTATTATCTTCTCCTCCTCTATGCAAATCCCTATTCTCGGCAACAAGTCTCATCTCGGGAATTGATTTCATCTCTTTCTCCCCTCGAACAACTCTCTCCTCATCCACTGTCTTGCCGGCGATTCTTTCTCTCTCCGTTAAACATAATCGCCGGAGAAACTCGTTTCAAGGTTCGAATTCTAAAGTTTCTCTTTTTTTTTTATTGGAAGGATTGGATTCGATTAAGCTTCTCTTGTTTCTGATTTTGATTTCCGGGTTTCAGTGAAATCAGTAGCTAGCCCAACGGAGACGATTTCGGAATTCGATGAGATGGTCTCTGGCACGAAACGAAAGTATTACATGCTCGGTGGGAAAGGAGGAGTGGGCAAAACTAGTTGTGCTGCTTCTTTAGCTGTCAGATTCGCCAACAATGGACACCCAACTCTTGTTGTGTCTACAGATCCAGCACATTCCTTGAGCGATTCTTTTGCTCAGGTAAACGAGTAAATTCTTTGAAACAAGTGAAGACTTTATATATGATTGGTGTCTCTACTGTTTTTGTTGATTTTGTAGGACTTGACTGGAGGAATGCTTGTCCCTGTAGAAGGACCTGAAGCTCCTTTATTTGCTCTAGAAGTATGTGTTTGGAGTTACGTTTGGGGCTTTTTTGGTTTTCTGTGGTGATGATCTTACACTCAAATTGAGTTTTAATTTATAGCTCTGCAACAGATAAACCCTGAGAAGGCTAGGGAAGAGTTTCGTAGCGCCTCGCAGATGAATGGAGGAACTGGGATGAAAGATTTTATGGATGGTATGGGACTTGGGATGCTTGTAGAACAGGTATCTTTTTAGCATTGTGTGTACTTCCCAGTGGCAATTGTAGCTAAAAATGTGGTTTAAGTGGGTCTTAATGGCTAATCAATCATGATGTATTCCCCTATGGTGTTTCTGATACTTAATCAAGGTGTCTCACATAGATGTGATTGCCTCTTACTGTTCTGCAAATAATACTGACTCTGGTTTTTTGGTTGATGAAGTTGGGGGAGCTAAAACTTGGAGAATTGCTCGACACACCGCCTCCTGGATTGGATGAAGCCATTGCCATTTCTAAGGTATTTCTGCTATTTTATCTGATTCTTCTTTTTTCGGTCTTGATATGTTGTGTCTCTTTCTGATTGTCAAGGGTATTCACAGGTTATTCAATTTTTGGAATCACCTGAGTATAACATGTTCACCAGAATCGTTTTTGATACTGCACCAACGGTGAGCAAGCTTGACTTAAATTTTCCTTGCTTTTTAGTGCAAAATATTAAAGACAGGGTTTATTGCTAATTGCAGGGTCATACGCTAAGGCTACTCTCTTTACCTGATTTCTTGGATGCGTCCATTGGTAAAATCTTGAAGGTGGGAAATGTTGATATACCATTCCCTTTAAACTCTTATTTTAGTCTGTTTACAAAAGTTTCTATCTCTTTCTCAGAGTTTGTCTTCTTAAATACATTTTCTGTATCTTCAGCTTAGACAGAAAATAACCTCAGCTACTTCAGCGATCAAATCAGTCTTTGGTAAAGAAGAAAACCGGCCTGATGCTGTAAGTCTTTGTACATATGGGCTGATATTGTATTCCTGTTTTTCATTCGTTTAAAATTTCTTTATGGATGTCACAGGCCGACAAATTGGAACGACTAAGAGAAAGGATGGTTAAAGTTCGCGAGCTTTTCCGTGACACAGAGTCAACAGAATTCGTCATTGTCACTATCCCAACGGTAATATCTACACATGCATCTCCTTAGATGTCCTCCTATCTTCAAGAATAAAATCAATTGGCTGAGAACTTCCATCCAATGTTGGTCTTAAGTTGGCAACTCACTGCTCATTACTGTTTGTTTATCTCATAAAGGTAATGGCTGTCAGCGAGTCTTCTAGGTTAAGTGCTTCCTTGAAGAAGGAAAGTGTTCCCGTCAAAAGACTCATTGTTAATCAAATTCTCCCGCCATCCTCCTCAGACTGCAAGTTTTGCTCAATTAAGAGAAAGGTATACACACAAACACAAACTTCTCATGAACTAATGATCTCTTTAAACCAATGATCGGTCTTACCTAGTCCTTAAACCACAAAGTGCTTCTGTTCTGTGGTTTAAAAGCATGCATGAAAAACATGAATAATGAATATGCAGGATCAAATGCGGGCTCTTGATATGATCCGGGAGGATTCAGAACTCTCTGCTTTGACACTGATGGAGGCTCCACTGGTTGATATGGAGATCAGAGGTGTCCCTGCTCTGCGCTTCTTGGGTGATATCATTTGGAAATAAGATCATTACACATTATCAACACAAGGATGAAGAACAAGCAGGTTCACTTGTATGAGATAGTTTTTGGTACAGATGTTGATATTGTCCTTGATGGGTTTGGTCTTTGGGTAAACATGAATATTGACAAGTGTTCCAAACTGTTAACAAATTCAGTATTTACTACATTTTGGTGGGTGTAAAATGTTCAATTAAAACTTTAGTACTTTTAAAATAAAAATATAGCAATTCTTGGGGAGCAAAGCCGCAAGATATGTACATAGTAATCCCGTGAAGAACAAGGACCTAAAATAATAAGCCATTGCTTTACATAAATAAAACAGCAAGACTTCACCTTTTACACAACCAAAAGGAGATTTTTAATTTAAGCCAGTTGAGATCCAAAATACATTTATTACCGACTTAAATCTAAAACCCTCTATTTTATTTACAAATTATTTGCAAAATATATATAACAGGAACAATCTTGAGATGCTTTGCTTAGTTAGGCTGTACAAATAGCTCTCGGTCACCAGCCTCTTTCTCTGGTTGTGTTATAAATTAAGAAGCTTGAGGTTTTACTTACTCAGAGATGATTAAGGAGTAGCGTTTGCGGCAAGAGATGACGAGAGCCCGATTCTTCTCTCTGCAGAAAAAAGACGAGTGATTCATGATCAATAATCATGACCTGTGATTTTGTACAGATTGAAGAAATGTTTACCTCCAGTAGTGATAAGTTTCTCAACTCGGGCAACGATATGTTTCCCATATGTGTATCTCTTCAAGGCATTCAAGTGTACTTTGATGCGAGAAAGAATGAGTGCAAGACTTTGATCATTGCATGTTTCAAGAACCTTCTGCACTACGTAGTTCCCAAATGGGTCCTTCATCATCGCCTGCAAATTGTTCCAACTTTAATGGGAATTTTTCGAGACATTGCAGAAAGACAGGGAGTTAGATTGCAGACCTGAAGAGGCTCGTTTTCATCAGTGTAACCAAGCATCTCATTCACTAGTACCTGACGTTCCTCTGGACCGCCAAATGTTAAGCACTTTTCAACAACATTAGAAGCAAACTTTTGCTGACTCATCTTCACAATCTGTCCAGCAAGCTTATTGATAATTTCTGACCGTTCATGAGGTTTACCGTGTTGTATGATATGCTACAGCCGGAAACAAGAATAATCGTTATCAGTGTGTCCATCTTCATGGAACAGAGACGTCAATTATGCTTCAGAACCTTACCTGAATAACATAATTTCCGTACTGATCTTGTGCTAGAGTACAGACTGAATCCATGATTTCTTCCATAATGATCCGTTGGGTTTCTATGTCATCAATATGCTCCAGTACCCTCTGATGCGATTCAAAAGAAGTAGATTACAAGCATCATTAACTGTTGACAAAAAAAATTGGAACATGGATCCTATGATCAAGAACCTCTAGGGTGAGATGTCTCGAACCTGGATTACACGGCATCCATAAGGGTGTGTTGAAAGAGCTAAAACTTTTCCGTAGAACGAGGAAATGATGAACTGTATCCAATCCTGAGGAAGACGCTCTATACACTTCTGGATCACATGATTACCGTTCTGGTCATGAACGCATTTCATGACAGACCCATCAAGCTCTTGCACAATTCGAGCTTGCTGCTCCAATTCAACCACCTCTAACGCCTGTATCCATATTGCAGAAACAAGATAGAGACACGCTCAGAAAAGTCAAACACCTTTGTCTGTAAAACTCTAAACCACTAAATAAAAAGAAATCGGATCAAACAATGTCTTCAAACTGAGCACCTTTTGGATAACCCTGCAGCCATACATTTGTAGAGAAAGAGCCAAAACATGGCCTGTTACTTGTTCAGCGAGTTCTTTTCTCTGCTTGTTTGTACCATGCTCGAAAAACTGGAACAAAACCAGAACAACATATGAGTAAACTGACACATCTAGCGATGTGTTGAAATGATTTAGAAGCTACAGCTCGTACCTTTTGAATGACATAATTTCCAAAGACATCTGTCATTAACGTGCGGCCGTACGGAAGTATCTCAGGGAATATTGCATTCTTTTCCTCATCCGTTGCAGTCTCAAGTTTCTGCTGAATGAAACGACTTCCGTACTGATCCATGCTGCAAGTGGTGTGAAATCCAAACAAAAGTGAACTAATAACCTTGAATGATGTATATTAGATAAGGTAGGTAAATACCTAAACTCAATCACATGACCAACTATTTCTGAAAGCTCCAAAGACCTTGTCTTGTTGTTCTTAAACCCCTCTAGTAAGGATGCTTCTGCCATGCTCCCAATATCTACATGGGATGATCCATGTAAGCCTCCGAAAGGAACTTTCATCATTGAGGCAGATTGTGACATACGTATGTTCTGGAAATTTCTTGCATTCTTGGAAGGAGAAGGCAAATGGTTTCCTAGATAAATGTTGCCAAGATCATATGAAGGACTCTCAAAAAATCTAGAATTTGCAGCATTGAGGTTACCCAGCTGTTGCCTGTTTTGAGCAAGTAACATCGCGAGGTATTCATTAGCTGTATCTCCGTTTGAAGTCCCAAAATTGTTTCTCATAAGAGAATGATCGGTTGGTGCAGCAGTAGAAGATGCCGTATGCAGGTACTGGCTGTAAAGTGGGTCCATAACTGGAGAGTGAAGCTCAGAAGCAACTTGATTTATCAATCTGTTCAAGCTTTGTCTATCCCCTTCCCCAGTCAAATGTGAGCCTGAAACATAAGGGATAAAAAAAGGTTCAATCTAAGGCAATACGATGTTCTGTTTGTGTATATGAGAGTGAGAGATAGAGACAGAGATATAGAGAGCAAGAGAGAGGAAGGAGTGAGAAACCTTCAGCGGAATAGTGCTCAGCTAATGAATTCAACTTGTTCTTTGCCAAATAACCACCAGCTGTGGAAAAGTCTGTTCCATTAATATTTGCATTCCGAATATTGACATCAGATAAGCCCAGGCTTCCTAATCTAGAATGTTCTGAAGTTGAGTAAAGACTCGCTGAAGAGGAGGTTCGTTTAGGGATGTTGACCTGTCCATGGGAACCCACTGTAGAAGCTCCAAGACTTGTTCCATACCCACTCATTCCACCATAATTTGCAGAAAACAAGTGATCTTTTGATTCTGCCATAGCAATATCTTGTTGCCGCAAAGCCTTCTTATGACCATTGGGTATGTAACGCATGACATCAGATTGATTCTCCAATTCCACTTGAAGCTGTGACTGCATATGGTTTTCTTTTACTTGACTCATCTCTGACATGCTCAACCTCGACAATGTGTCGGCAACATCGGCAGCAGTGTAAGATTCAGAGTTTTGGATGGCTGTGCCAAAAGTATTCTTTTTCTCGACAGGACCGACCCTGGTACCAATAGGGGGAAGGCCAGAGGCCGGAGATCGCCCTACTAGATGTGAGTCAGGAGTTCTATTTCTTGGCACTGGGGAACTCGTGGTGGAGCCAAGCATAGTATTTGGACTGTTTTTGGCAGTAGCATGTAATGATTCATGGAATGCTAATGGGCTGTCGAATCCACCAGCACTGAAATTCGATAAAACAGCAGAATCTTTCATGTCCCGAAAAGTGTTGCAGCTTGCAGGCCGAGAGAGTTGGCTGCCTAAGGTTGCATCCCGTTCAAGTCCTTCCTGTAAAAGTTCCAATCAATGAAGTAGGAAACCAAAGACTATTTAGACACCTCACAACCAGTATTATATTCAACTGAATAAGTATCAATGTCTAGACATTACCTGAAGTATATCGGCGAAACTCTTCCTTCTCGGTCCAAGCCCAGGATATCCAGATAATCCAATAAAATCTTCTCTGCCTTGATCTAGCCGCTGCACCTTCTGAGAGCGGCCCTGAGCTACAGCATTCCTCAGTTCCATCAAATCATTCTCTGCCTGCTCAACTGGAACCCCTGGCTGAACCGAGAAGAGCGATGAGGAGTTGTCGACTTCAACCGCTTTCTTCCTCCATTCCCCAACAGGATCAAACACAGACTCACTGTTGTGAAACCTCTGAGCAACCCTCCAATCCTCTCTAGACAACAACGGAGGAGGCAACCTCGGATTGGAATGTTCATTCGAATAGTAATAAGAGAGATACTCAGGGTGCCAACGTAGCTCATCATCAGACAAAAGCTCAACGCCATTGCTAGTGCTAAAACTGTTAACATTCCCAACATCTCTATGATCAGAGTTATTATTGTTCCAGTACTGATTATCCATAGCCCTCAACAAACCTTCCACCGTAGGAGGCGCGCTTCCGCTTCTGTGAACATCAATGTCTCGTTCTCTCTCTCGGCCAAATGTTTGCCGATTACGATGTTGTTGGAGCAAAGATTCGAGCTCCCTCTGGAATCGATCCTCGAGATCCACATTGGATCCTCGATTCACACTTGTCAAATTTGATCTCGTATCCATGTAGCTATCAGTCACCATCTCTTCCCTTCATCCGAATCAATATTAGACCTAACCAAATCAACACCTGCAAAACCAGAAAAAAAAAACCAAAATCGTGTCGGTGTTACGAAATCGGAGAAGAATCCATCAATTTCTGAAAAAGAGTGATGATCAGAATCCGATCGGGAATCAAAGTAATGAATCACCTCTCTCTCTCGATTTTCAATGTCGACGGAACGATAAGGTTCTCTCTTGGTTGTTCACGCAGAGAGAAAACGCAGAGGAGAGACCATTGTCTCAGAGAGCGAGTGAGATAAGAAAAGAAATGGAAGTGAGGACGAATGAGAAAATGGGGATTCAAAGAATGAGAGACGACGAATAAGGTAAAGACAAAAGAGGCAAAGCATGGAACTCTGAGATCGCCTTCATCCTTTGGTAATTCTCCCAAACTGTCACTTACCTTTTTTGTTTTTTTATTAATTTTAATGATAAAACTAAATCTTAAAAGGTAATTAGAAGATGCGGCTATTTACGACACCGTATGGATCTCTTTATGACTTTTATCTAATTGATGGACAAATTACATAAAGGACGATTAATTAATGATTAAATTTGTCACCTAAACCAAGAATCTCTTATTAATCTAGAAAAATGAACAATCCCAGAGAGAGAAAAGACCAAAGGTGTTACAAAAATCAAACTCTTGAATATTGAATGGAGCTCGTAAGTCATTCAATCACTACCATAAAGTAATGGAATAGTTTGGTGTAGTGAAATGGTTTGGAGTCTTACTTACTTACCGAAACATTTCCAATCAATCTTAAGAGAGCAACATTTTAAGAACTAGCACAAACTCACCTGTAAGAGACACCATTGATTCACTTAACAAAGAAATGTATAGTTTCTTCCCACATTATTACTCTCTCTCCCTTATATTTCTATCTCTTTAAATAATTTTATTATTATACCATTTTCAACATAAATGATCGATAGAAAATTTACGATACATTATTTTTCTTAATTATAACACGTTATCAGCACGATCACTCTATGATCGCTGGAAAAAATACGGTATTATACCGGGCGGTATGTCGCCTCGTTAAAAGAAAAATATGAGAAAAAGAAAAAAAAAAAAGAAAAAAAAAATTATATAAATAAATAAAAGAAACTATATATGTATATATACGTTACTTCATGCACCATAATTAATTATTTTTTGTTAATGGTTGGCTGAGCCACCTGAAATTTTATTTACTGCTTTAAATATTTATTTATGTTGCCGGTCGGCTGAGCCGCCTTAATTTTATGCACTGCTTTAAATATTTATTTATGTTGCCGGTCGGCTGAGCCGCCTTAATTTTATGCACTGCTTTAAATATTTATTTCTGCTACCGGTCGGCTGAGCCGCCACATATATATTTACTGTTTCTATGTGGATAATTCGTCACCATAATATCACTGTGAATTATTTGTTTATATTATGGTTTATTCACCTGTATAAATATTTTTATTTGAATCGATAATTTTTATCTGATTGATCTCTAATTTTTTAGATTAATTTTTTTAAAAAAAATATTTTTCCGCCAACGGTCTCAAAGAAAAATTTCAAAATTTTTCCAAAAAAATTCAACTTTCTCCAACGGCTAGGAATAGTATTTTTCAATCTATAAATTCATTCATTTTCTCATTCATTTCATCAAAACAAAATTTTTCATCTCTCTAAAAACTCCCTCCGAAAAAAAAAAGAAGAAGAATTTTGAAGTTTTGAAGAATGTTTCGATTACTTTTAATATTTGTTTTTGGAATCATTATTATGTGTATTTATAATCTTTGCGTTGTAGAATTTACTCCGCAAGATTTTCGTTTGAATATTATTTTACTTGTTTGTACAATTTTTCTTTTAGTAATCGCTTGCATTATTAATATAAACGGTTCATTTTAAATATGTATTAATTTTATTTCTATACGCTTTTATATAAGTGTTTTTCATGTTTTAAAATAAATTAAATAAAGGTTTCTAATAATATTCTATGTTTTTATTTTAGAAACGAAATGGCAAATATTGAGAAGCTTAAGTTTTCGGCTCTACACATCACTTTGGCCAATTATATATTTTGAATTGCCAACGTCGAATTAAATTTACAATCTCTTGGCTTAATAAAAACCGTAAAAGAGAATAATACTTCGACGGTTCAAGAAAGGGAAAAATTGGTGATCTTTATTTTAAGACACCTTGATGAAAGTATGATATGTGATTATGCACATATATAAGATCCCAAAGAGATCTGGGAATCCCTAAAAGCTTGATTTGATAATCGAAAGAAAATAAATCTCCCACTTGTTCGGGATGAATGACAAAGTCTAAAGTCCAAAGACTTTGATAAAGTGATGGATTATAATTCCGCTATGGTCTAAATTGTGGTTAAACTAAAATATTATGGTGATATTATCACTGATTCTCAGATGCTTGAGAAAACGTATACCACGTTTCATGAAAACCACATTACCCAGCAAAAACTGTATATGTCATGCGGGTATACCGAATTTTTGGATTTATTTATGGTACTCCTAATAGCGGAAAAGATTAATGAGACCGCTCATGCGAATAACTAAAATGCTTGTAGTGAGATTGCTAATCTCCAGTAATGCCATTATATAAGTATTATGTATTTCAGTTGTTTAAAAAATAAAGTTCTTTCTGAAAATGAACTAATATATGATTATTCTATATTTTCAATATCAGAGAGATTTGCTTATATATATTAACGTTTATGTTAATTACAGAAATGGATCATATTACAAATGGAACAATATCCAAGACAAATCTTGGGGATATTTGCATACCGGATAGTGGAACAATGCACAGTATTCTGAAACATAAAAAGTATTTCTCTGATTTGAAATCGACGAAAGTTATCGTTAACACAATATCAGGTCCTACAGACTTGATTGAAGGAAGTGGCAAAGCAAATTTTAAATTGCCTAATGGAACAAAGTTTTCCATAAATAATGCCTTATATTCTCCGAATTCTAAGAGGAATTTGTTGAGTTTCAAAGACATATACCTTCACGGATATGAAACTCAGTCTGAAACTGAGGATGGAAAGAAGTATATGTATATAACTTCTAATAAATCTGGAAAAAAGACATGTCTTGGAAAGATTTCCAGAATTTCCTTCTGGTTTGCATCATACCTATATAGATGTCATAGAATCACATCTTGTGATCAAAAGAAATCCAGAAGATTTCGTATTATGGCATGATCGCCTTGGTCACCCAGGCACCACAATGATGCGAAAAATCATAGAAAGCTCACATGGTCACTCATTGAAAAATCATGAGTTGGAACATGGAAATAAAATGACATGTGCAGCGTGTTCTCTTGGAAAGTTAATCATAAGGCCATCGCCAACCAAAATTGATAAAGAATCACCAAAGTTCCTTGAACGAATTCAAGGCGATATTTGTGGACCGATACACCCACCATGTGGACCATTCTACTATTTCATGGTAATGATTGACGCATCTAGAAGATGGTCACATGTTTGTCTATTGTCATCTCGAAATTTGGCATTTGCGAGATTTATAACTCAAATAATCAAATTAGGGGGAGTGTTACAAAAATCAAACTCTTGAATATTGAATGGAGCTCATAAGTCATTCAATCACTACCATAAAGTAATGAAATAGTTTGGTGTAGTGGAATGGTTTGGAGTAGTGGAATAGTTTGGAGTAGTGGAATGGTTTGGTGAAATTATTTGGTACTATAAATATGCTCTTCCACTCCATTGTAAGAGACACCATTGATTCACTTAACAAAGAAATGTATAGTTTCTTCCCACATTATTACTCTCTCTCCCTTATATTTCTATCTCTTTAAATAATTTTATTATTATACCATTTTCAACATAAATGATCGATAGAAAATTTACGATACATTAATTTTCTTAATTATAACAAAAGGAAGTTTTTATTTTTCGTTTGTTTGTCTGATATCTAATTTTAATTCTGTTAGCCATTTTCCGTACCTGTCATTCATTTATTTTTGATTATTTAATATGTTACACAATTTTAATTAATATAACTAATTTAGTATGCTTTTAACTCTTACTTACTTACCGAAACATTTCCAATCAATCTTAAGAGAGCAACATTTTAAGAACTAGCACAAACTCACCTGCAAATCGTCCTTATTTTGAATTTGTTAGTCTCATTTACCAAATTAACTCGCACAAATTACAAAACAGTTTTTAATCAAAAACTAAAACAGCTTATAAACAAAAATCTCTTGCAGCCCACTCAAACATTCCTTGGAACTCGGACTTCTCTATTTTATGTAAAATGACCAGACCATCCCCACTCCACTTAGAGCACACGCAGTGGAGTACTCAACACTCGGGTGTTAGTTATAAACAAATGAAAAATAATGTAAATTTGGGCTAAGACACAAAACAAGAATGCAAGTTTACACTCAAGTGTAAGGTATTATAAAAATAGAAAAAAATTTCTTCTTTCTATCTCTCTATATCTCTCCTTCTCTCTCTTTTCTCTATCTCTAATTATAATAATAATAAAATATTTACGCCCCACTAACACACATCCACCCAAGTTTACCATTGCTGATGCTCTTACCCTCTATGTATGGTAAGCTGTGAGGGTGAAACAGTAATTTAAAACGATTTAGTTTCCATTACAGAGGATTCCATTTCCATTTTTCGCAATCATTTTCTTCTTCTTCTTCTTCCCATGATCGCCTCGCTTCCCAACGCAATCTTCTTCACCCAATCTCTGAATCTCTCCTCAATTCCATGTCTGTCGCTTCTATTCGCCGTTTAGCCGCCGGAGCCGCTGTAATTGCCGCTGCATCCGGTGGCGCTGTCTATCTGTCTCCGTCGGTTGCCTCCAGCGACAAAGGAGGTGGTCCGATTCTAGATTCCTTGAGGCGTAGGATTGGTGATCCCACCGCTTCTGTGCCGTCTCGATCTGCTCAAGAGTCTTCTCTGATTGCAGCCACTGCTTCTGATCCGCTCGATGTTCTCGTCATTGGCGGTGGAGCCACTGGTTCTGGAGTCGCTCTCGACGCTGCTACACGTGGCCTCCGTGTTGGTTTGGTGGAGCGAGAGGATTTCTCCTCCGGGACTTCTTCGCGATCAACGAAGCTGATTCATGGAGGTAATTTTACGTTTTGAATTTTGTATGTGGCGTTGGGTTTCCCAATTTTGGTATAAGAAGCTCTCTGAATTGCCGGGTATTATGAAACAATTGCTTAGTTTACTAGTTGGAAGTGAGTGGTATGATCATCATTAGGTGCTCACGAACTTTGGTTGTTCAATTGGCGAAATTTGATTGAAGATTTTCGAAAATTTGGTGAATGTTTGGATTTCCAGAGGAATAATTGAAGAAAATTTATAGCTCATTGTTTTTTGCCTCTCATTTGCTGTGTTTTTGTTTGTTG